TCCATCATAGCTGGATGGCATGGTGCTGAGGCACACAAATGCCTCCACGCAAAATCATCCCAGATCTCACTGGGCTCGTTAACTTCTTTTCCATGCACTCCCTTCCCAAAAAAGGCTGCTCATGCTAACCCAGATACAACCCAGCCCTGTTGCCTCAGCTGTGGGACAGCTGGCAGACCTTCATCACCAGCATCTTTGTTTTGGAGATGTCGATTTCCCCTGAGCAATCTGCCCTCACCAGCAGATGCATGAAGTAGCATCCTCCAGTGGCTCTTCTACAGCACCTCCTCTGCAAGCAGTGCTGGAGTGGGTTTTAAACATTGCAGGGTGGCGGGGTGACATAAAGCAATTGCTTTATGTCAGGATGGCAGGTGTTAGCACCCCTCTGAGGAATTCTGCAGGACATTTCAGGCAAATATTTAGCTTGTCCCTGTGTGGCAGCAGCGATTGAGAGGTGAGACAAGTGACTGGCAAGTCGAACACTTGGGTTTTGTTGCACATTGCATTGACGGATTGAAATGGTCTGCACCCGAGCTCGAGATATTCTGGGTTGATTTCCTGCTACATTCACGAGCACAAACACCCTGCTGTTTCAGCTAATGGTGAAAATGCTCTTAATTGTGTGAATCAGGATTTGCCGGTGGTAGACGACTGCTTGCTCCACGGCAAGAGCTTGTTTGAGACGGGGTGCCTGGGCTTATTGCACAGAAAATGGCAGAGCCGAGTACATCATCGTGGCTCAATGGTGCGGAAAAACAAAATAGCTGAAATTTCATGCTGCCACAGAAATGTCCCGGGTCTGACTGAAAGCTCTGCCAGAAGTGACCTGAGCAACTTCTCGGTGAACATGTCTGCAAAATGAGGTAGATAATGGGGAAGAAGCGGAATGATGTGCTGACTGTTTCCTCAGCTGCAGAGGAGAATGATACCATATTTAACAGCATGTGCTCCACCTTCAAGTGTATTTCCATGGCATTTTTGCAGTTTACTTCGGCAACAACAGAGTCAAAAGCAGGAGGATTTCACTTCCTCGTGCTACCTCATGGCCTGGCAGCAGCTGGACAGAGCTGGCATGAGGAGCATGCTGAGACAGAGGGCTGTCAGGCTATTCAGGACAGAGGGACGGCTTCCATGCAGAGGTTTTGAGACAGATTCTCCTTTCTTGCACCATGATTTGTCCAGCTGCTAAGGCCTGGATGAAGGGTGTGAGAAAATGACCCCTTGGGAGCCCCCTTTAGCTAAGAAAACCTAAAAATCTCCCCTTGAATAAAGGATACAAAGGGTAATGTTTAAGGGCCAGGTTGCCAAAGGTATTTAGGCATTTTACTGCTCTAGCTAATGGAATATCTAAAAGCCCAACGAATGCATTAACCATTAGAGACCTAGCATTGGGCTGCTAGTGCCAGACTTGTGCACCCTTTGGTTAGCAATGTCCCCAGTAAAACCTGCAAAATGAAGACCATCTGCTGAGGGGGAGAGGAGAAAACTCCAGCACTTAGCTCCGTCAGGTCTGCGCTGAAATAGAGCTTTCAGCAATCACAAGTAGAAATGCTGCAGTCCTGGTAAGCCTCCTCGGGGGAGTCAGGACAGGCACAGCTCTCCTCTGGGCTTTCCCCTCCTCGCCTCTCATGGTTCTGGCCTGTGTCTGATGTTTTTCTGGGAAACCCCCCATGTCTTTTGGCCCTTCCTCAGGCTCTGTTGCAGAGCTACATGTCTGAGTCGCTCACACAGCTCAAGATAACCCGGGTGCCTCCAGTCCCACCCCGGCTGAGCCTTCTCCACTACAACCTTAAGCATCATCTACTCAAAAATAACATACAAAAAATAAATTCCATCAAATAACACTGCTGCAAATGTCTTGCTCCTCAGCAGGCCAGATTATCGCTCTGCCACTAAGCCCAGCTAGCAAACAGCTCTGGTTTCTCCAATTGCCACCTGAAACACAGCTCGGGCAGGGCGGTCGCTGGCTCGAGCACAGCACCACCAGCCCCTTAGGGCCGCTGTTGATGGCCGTGTGCTTCGTGTGGCAGGGCAGAAAGGAGGGGACGGGGGTGATGTGGGTGGTGGACAGCAGTGAGGTAATGTGGAGAGGGTGATATCATGGTACAGACACACGGGCTGGGTGAGGGCTTAAGAAGTAATTTACTGGCACGCGTTGTGCCTGGTTTCCCTAGGAAATGAGGCTTACACAGTCACGCTGGGTGTATGTATGTGCACATGCTGTAATCAGGGAGAGGCTGCAGCTTTTGAGTAACCCTTACGAGACACCAGAGAGTCCAGAGGAGTGATATTTACAGTGCCCCGAGAACAGAGAAAGCTTCAGTTGGAGCGTGCACTTTATTAAAAACAGGAGAATACATCCACCCATGAGACATACACTTGTATGAGCCCAGGATTCATTTGCTCTGCTTCTCAGGCAACAGCTTGTTACCGAATTTTAGTTGCATGGCCACTTGGGCATCCGTGTGTGCATCCCAAAGTTTTCCATCCTGTATGTATAACAAAACGCTTGGCATCGAAGTGGTGGCGCCTGGAAAGGTAAGTGTCACCAGGAATGAAATATTAATGTATGTAACAGAATAATATCTTTCCCACAGAGGAACGGTTCCCAATTTTTTGGCCTACCAGAGCATTGCAACCTTCACAATGTCAGGCAAGCATCCTTCACCCTTATAAAGAAGCTTTTAATGGAAAGTGTTTCATGATACAACTTCAGTCGTGTAGCCAGCGATGATGAAACACCATCTCCAATATGTGACAACAGCTTGAAACCAGAACAGCGAGTGCTTTTGCTGTCCCCTTAGTCTGGTGCTTCTGATTCACACTCCTTGTTACGGGTCCATCAGGAAAGAGCAAAGATTCCTGATGGATTTATTTCTTGTTTGATTAGCTGACGCACACTGCTCCTTTGCAGTTCACGTTTTCAAATAGTGAAAGCAAGTTCGGTATAAAAGTTAACTTTTCACCAGATACTGTGTATTACAGAGTATTGAGTCTCCTGTGTCTGCTGAGATCATTTTGTGCTGCCTGTGATGGGAGAGAAAACGCCTTTCTGCTAACTTGATAAGCTTCCCGATGCAATAGACGTGCTGCTCTACCTACGGACAGGTACTTTTGTAGCTGGAAATCCATAGCTGGTCGCAGTTTTCACATCCATGCTCCCACAAATTCCCGTGACTCTTTCACTGTCGTCACCTTTCCATGGAGAGCTAAGGACTGGTCACTCACAGTCTGCCAGGATTACTCAGGCCTCGTCTTTACACACAACTTTTATCTGATTTAAGCTGTAAAAATGTCTCTCTTCCCTCATGCTCCTGTGGCAACATTCTCTCATTCTAGTCTAAGAGATGCTTTTTGTTTTTTGCCCTTACCCATCTCCATCTGTAAGGACTAACTTGAAGAAATATGCTTTTATAGACCAAATGCCAACTTGCAATGGAGGATTAATCCTTTAGCTGTGCTTCCTGTTCAGTTCTTAGATTACACAGGGGAAAAAAAAAAAATTGCTCATGGTGACCTACATAATCCAGCACAATGGCTAATCACGCTTCCATGAGGTGACTGCCCATGTTAGCAGGGAGAGAGCACAGGAGCTAGGAGATGCCTTCTGGCAGCGTGTTCCCAAGCGTGGTGGAGTCACTTGTACCTCTGGAAACAGAGAGCCTCCTTGCATAGCACTGCTTGAGCAGATCAGGCACCAAGAGGCCAGAAATTAATTAATCTTTTAAAACGTATTTATCATTCGCCACTAGTTTTTTTCTTATTGTGATGCTTGTATCAGGGCGACTGAGGATGAGCCTGATCTCAAGATGCTTCTGCAAACTAGAGGCTGGCTGAGTTAGCCATAACTCTGCCAGAGCTGGGTCAAGGCAATCAATTCACTCCCAAACAAAGAGGCATGTTGTGAAGGTGAGTTTAAACAAGGAAAAATACAGGACAATGGGAACCATACTGCTCAGCATCAGCGGTGAAATAATTAGACATCTCTTCAGGCTAGATTTATAGGCCAGAACTGCACTCAGACAGAACTTGCTGGGGAGGGTGCTTTATAAAAGCAGAATTAGTAGCGGTAGTCCTAAAAAGAAAACAGAGCGAGGCAGCAGAGCCAGAGTGAGCACAGTGAAAGTGCACAGCTCTGACCTGATCCAGGATAACTTTTTTTCCAAGTTTGTCCCTTCCAGCAGGATGCTTGGTCCCAGTGAAGGACGAGGGAGCACACCAGCATCTCCCACGGCACCCGGCTGTGTTCAGGGCCCAGCAGAAAGCAGGGCAAGTTACAGAGCAAGATCGGATTTTTACAGCCAGCAGCATCACTTCTGGTCACAAACAACCTCAAAACTCGAGGAGAAGCCCTTGACAGCTGGTGTCGCTTGCTGTACGAGAGGAGATTTCTGTATTTGAGGCACGGGCACAGCGCACACCCGGCTCTGACAGACTCTGCCTTGCGAGGTCCTGCCTTCCAGCCCCAGCACAGCCAGAAGCCTCCGAAATTCAGACCTGAGGAGAAAAAAGAAGAGGATCTCAGTTAGTTACATGCACACCACCACCACCAGCCACCTCAGGTGGGATCCCACACACTGCGGGCCCTTCAGACACCCGGTTAACCCACTTAACAACCCAGTTAACTTTGTCCAGCTAACACGACAAGGCCAGGGGTTCACACTCAGGGCTTTCCACCTCCCTTCACCCCACGTATGCCCATCGGGCAGCATCAAACACCCTTTTTTTGGGACAAAACCCCATTTCCACAGATTCTTGTGGAAAAAACCCCGCTGCGCCCCGGCTTCCCGTGCTGCCAGAGGGATCCCCACACACGGCCCCCCTCTGGTCCCCGAAGAGGGGGCCGTGCCCGTGACCCGAGGAGGGGGTCTCCGAGCAGCAGGACCCCCTCCTGGCGCCCCAAAACCCCGCTGAGGGGCCCGGGGGCAGGGAAGGGGGCGGCTGTGGGGCCGGGCGGGCCGGGGAGGAGCCGGGCCCGGGGCGGGGGGATGGCGGCGGGGGTCGGGCCGGGGGTGGAGCTGCGGGCTGGCGGGTCGGGGTGAGGGGAGCCCTCCCCTTCCCTTCTTCCCTTCTCTTTTTCCTTCCCTTCCCTGCTGAGCCGAGCCGAGCCGAGGAAGGCGCCCGTCCTGTGCCGCCCTCAGCATGGTGAGCGGGGCCGGGGGAAGTTTGGCGGCTGCCTCACCACCACCACCACCACCACCATCACCACAGCCCCCCGGTTCCCTCCTTTCCCCCTTTTTTTTATCCCCCGTTGCTTTCTCTTGCAGGTCTGGAAAACTCTGCCGCTGCTCTGTGCCCTGCTGGCCGCCGCCCGGCTGCGAGCGGAGGTAGGCGGGGGGCTGCGGGGGGCGCCTACAGCACGGGGGTGGGGGGGCGGCCGGGATGGGCTTCGTAAGGCACCCCCTGCCCTTCTCCTCCCCCTTTTCATCTCTTCTTTCTTTCCTCTGAGCGTTTTTATATTTGTTTTACCCCCCCTTTTCCCGCCCTGACCTCCTTTCCCGCACCATCAGCCCCACAAACTCGCCGACCCCCTTTGTGGGGGCTGCGTTGAAAGCGGTGCCTGAACCCCCCCCCCCACCAAATCCCCGGCGCTGCAGCCTCCGTAAAAGTGAGGTCAGGGACGAAATATTTGATAATTGTGGCCGGGAAATGTGGAAGTGATTTGAGGCAAATGAACTCAAGCTGGGCTGGGGAGGGCGGCCGAGCGCGCTTTCCGCAGGGTAAAAGCGGTCCCGGCTGGGGGACGGGGTTGGGTCGGCCTCCCGCGCACATTTTTTCGCCCTACATATTTCTCCCAGATGGCCGGCCCCACCCTAGAGCATCACAGTTTGGCTCTGCGCAAAAAAATAATAAAAAAAAATGTATAAACACTTCTGCTTCCCTACAGAGAGTTTTCCCCTTTCTCCGCCTTCCCACCGTGGCAAAGATGGGGGTTGTAGGGGAAAGCCACGCTTCCTCCGTCCCCGTCTCTTCGGCCGAGTCCCTGCAGAGGTGAACAGTGCCAAAACATTGCCAGAATTGCCAAAACGTTGCCAGAATTGCCAAAGCATAGCACACGAGGTGAGGCAGGGCGACCGCTGCCAGCAGACCCCGTCCAGGGAGCTCTGGTGGCAGCTGTGGAGAAAGCCGAGGGGAGCGGGACCGAGCAGCGGTGTGGGCTGGTGTTTGGCAGCTGCAAACGCGTCGTAATATTGTAATAGACTTTCTTCTGGAGGCATGACATACTTATGTAGTCAGCATTTCCGTGCGTCCCCCTCCAATGCTGTCCTGAAAGAGCCGTATCGGTTCTATCCGTTTTTCTTAGGAATCGTAAAATAAACTTTAACCATTTCTGGTCAATGTGAAGCAAAACCTCTGTCAGAAGGAAGGGCTCAGCAGCGCATCCGTAAGATGAGTGGTAATAACAGCTAAGTAATAGGGGCAGTGGTCTGAGTAAAGCATTGTGGAGCCAGCGACCAGCAGAAACGCATCAAAGATGTGTTTGGCCTTTGATTTCTGATTTCTCTGGCGCCACTAACGTTGTGTCGACTCCTGCTTTTCACCTCGTGTGCTCTCCTTAGGAGGACCTGGATGGCTGCCCAAGTACGAGCACTCTTAACGTTTCCGTGCCTCAGTGTCCTCATCTACAAATCGGAAGTAAGAAAAATGTGCAGCCATCCTGCTCAAAACTCTCTCTTAAAGGCCAGTTCATGCTCGAGTGGATAAACGAATGGTTTGACTGCTTTCAGGGGTAATGGTCTAGGTGTCAAACTGGCGAATGTTTTGGTTCAATTCCAGCCCAAGTTCGGCAAAACTTGGGAGTGACAGCTGTGGTTGGTTCCGGTTTCAGGGAAAATTGACACCTCGAACAACTTTTCTTTTGGGGTTGAGTCCGATTCCTTGCTGCTGAGTGGTGAGCATCAGTCTGCTCGCAGGAATTGCCATCAGGGATATCAGGAGCTCCTCATTTTCCGGGGTGTAGGCTGCACTTGAAAGTGAGCTGCCTGCAATTCAGAGACGACTTTGATGGTCGTTCCCTTCTAGATGTTCTTCGCTTCCACTCCCTGGCATCTCTGGCATTTCGTAAGATTAGCGTGGCATTTTCCCGTGTGGTTTTCCCTCTCTAGATTTTGGAAGTGATGACTCTCCGTTTCTTCTTGTTTCCGCTGCAGTCTGCAGTTAGTGCCTTTCAGTATGTTCGGCATATTAAGGCTGAGCCTTAAGCTTCTAATCCACTTGTAGGCAAAACTGTACCCGAGCAGTGCTGGGTTTTTGCAGAACACTCATTTCTACGACATTGTTAGGTGCGTAATTAGAGTCTTGAAAGAAAGAAAGAAAGAAATTGCTTCAGTAAATGTTCCTGGCGTGATTTTGTGCAGACTGGAAAATCTGAGACGTGCCAGAGCTTGGGAGCTTTTCTTGGCCCGGTTCAGTAATAGTCACAAGAGCAATAGACGGTGAACTGTACTCCTGGGATGGAGGCCAGCCACCAGCTTCAGACAGCGCTTTTTGTCTCTCTTTTCCTGGGTCGGCCTTGCAAGGAGGAGGCCGTTTGCTGGCATTAGCAGGGATGCTGAGGAGGTGAATCTGCTTGTGTTCTCAGCTGGGGCTTTCCTGAGCAGATGCGGGGGGATTTTGGGAAGCATCCATCATAATAGAGGAAAAGGGCGAGGCTCAAAAAGTCTGATGAACGTCTTAGAAGTTAAACGGCAGGCCCGTAACTCGATCAGTCGTTCGTTTCCTGCTGGAGCAGTTACCTAGTTAGCGCTGGAAAGGAGTCCAGTCGCTGTTTGACCGTGTCCGTGAGGTCCAGGAGCACTTCTGGTGGTACCAGCAGTGTGGTGACACGTCCCGTCTGGATACTTCCTTCAAAATAACAACGAGAGTTTTACTTCTTTCACCGTGCCTTCAGCCTGATCCCGAGTCTGCAGGAAAGTTACTTTTCATTGTGGGTTTTAAATGCTAACAAAGATTTATGCCAGCGTGAGCATGCTGGTGCAGGCTGTGGATGGATGACCTTGTCCCTTCAGATTGATCCCCGAGACCTGTAGCTGTTGCCTTCCACTATCCTTAACCCATTTCTGGCCAAACGAGCCTGCCCTTGGGAAGTGTTGTGTAAACAGTTTAAGCTGGCTTAGCTCATTTTGGCCAAAGAAGTAACCAGAGGAGGCGGTCTAGAGGATCTCCTCCCGTGAGGACATCTCCTGACAGATCTGAGGGGGTTATAACCCCAAAGCAGAGCAGTGATGACAAGCATCGGGGAGCAGATTTACAACCTTTCCTAATAGCACAGTGTTTGCAGTGCATGCATCTGCTGTAGCCCTGGGATTCATTTTTTTACCCACCTCCTTTTCCCTTTGTATAATTTTTCCACGTGAAAAGCTGCGAGGGGGTGTGAGAGTTCAGCTGGTCTGCATAAAGCTTCGTGTGCTTCCTCCTGTCCGGCTGTTCGCAAGAGTAAGCCTCCTTTGGTTAAACTTCTCCCACATTTTTGCAGTGATGAAGACTAAAAGCTGCTGCCTTGATAAATTAAGCTTAATGAATTACAGTTGAGCTCCTGAAGCTCTAGGACAAGGCCATAATTTGGACCTCGAGCCATTGTTTTAAGAAGTATCTATTTGCTTTTGAAATTCAGTGGTAGTCTTGGTGCTTATTTCTGTCCTCCCGGCATTGATATTTGGTCCAGGCAGTGGAAGGGAAGGACGCTGTGGTGCCTGTCAGATGGGTAGCACAGGCTGTTTCTAATCTGCTCTGTGCATTAAAACCCAGCAGTTACATGCAACCCGCTAATGTAATAAAAATGCAGCTTCCCATGTCTTCTTTCGCAGACTCATCTTCAGTGGGAGGAAAGAATCGCGTTTATTTTTCTCCAGGAGCTGATTTTGGAGTGATAGACATCTTCCTCCTTGGGATTCCGCCCTCGAGCTCCAGACCAAGCCCTGCTGGCGCTGCACCTCGAGGCAATAAGTGTGTTTTAAATGGGGAGGTAGGGCAAAGTGGTTCTGCCCTGTGCAAAGCCTGTTTTTTGTGTTGTTTTGTGGTTGTTTTTTTAATGTGCATGGTCAAAGGGCTCAGGGGCAGGCAGGCGAGCCAGGAAGTTTTGTCTGGGGCACCTCGTGCCATGCTGAAGTCACTGACCAAATACCCCACATGCAAGTGCTTCTGTCTTCGGATGGAGCTGCGATTTGCCTTCAGGTCAGAGCTGCTTTGTGCAAATTCACCATCGCTGAGTGAATGACTATCTGCCAGGGTGCAAATTCCTTGCGGGTAATTAACAGGGGGCTGCTGAAGAGGAAGGGACTGGCTGAAAGACTTCTGGTGCCTGTTGTGTTTTCCAGCTGCTGTTATTGGTACAGCTGCTTACCCATCAGGAGGCACTGGGGCTCCTTTCATCTTTCTTGTGTGGTGTTACCCGAGCTGGGGAATGTTTTTCTTCAGACAGAAGAGAGTTTGTCACAAATCTCAGCCAGGTGTGTCTTGCCAGGCTCACCAGACTCCTATTACCATGCTGGTTTTACCACATACCCTGAGCGAGATTTATCCCTCATGGCATTGTCTCTAGCTTGGAGGAAGGGAAGTCTGGAGTGCTGTAACGCTGTGGAGCTCCTTCCAGAGCTGGCTCAGGGTGGCAGGCGCTGGGATACACACATCAGCTTTCCCCGGGGCTGCAGACTTTGCCACAGCTCATGTGTTATCTCTGCCTGGTTTGGGTAGGAAGGGACCCTAAAGCTTGATAGATGTGAACTGGTTGGAGCAGGGGCTCATTTGCTCTTGCACGATGGGGCTCTGCTTGCAATTCCTAGGCATCCTAGTACTAAATAAACAAGCGTCAGATAAACAGCCCTGGAGGCTTCAGAAAGCACAGATAAATACTGCACGAGCAGCGGCTGCCTAGCTCGGAACAAAAGGAGCTGCTCACCAGCAGGCATTGGGCTGAAGACACCAGCCAGCAGTAACTTGAGATTACATCTGTTCTCTGCCATGCAAGCCTAATCTTATTGCCTACTCTATCCTGAAATCTCTGAATTATTACACCATACCTTGGAATTTTAACACAGGACCTGTAGCTGCCTGGGACAACGGACAAGATCTAGGGTGATCCACAAGAGGTGATGGAGGAAAGCAAGCTTGTCCTCCAGCCTGCCTACGTGGAATTCCTTGAGACACTGCACCTGATGTGAAGCGTGTCAAGGGGTCCATAGCCTGGAAAAAATTTGGAGGCTCCTTTTGGATAAACAGGCTTGGAAAGAACAAAAGAGATTCAGGATGGATGATTGGGGAGGGATTTGATATCTTATTAGCTCAGCTGCAGGTGGATCCCACGTTTCCACTGTTTGACAGCTAAGCA